TTTAATAGCATAGAAGACCCAATCTGAGATTATGGCTATAGATAACTGATGACCATGGCTCCAAATTCTCCACACTAGCCGGAATGTACACAACTTCACCATCCAGCGGTGGAATTCCACCGGACCTGTCCCAAAACAAACCCACTATCAATGTGCACAATCCCCAATTGGTTTCATCATCAATTTCATTACCACCGGTTACAAATCTTCATAGCAATACACGGACTACTGTAGCGCAACAACACATAGTTTCTTCAAAAATTCCAATGGTCAAATATAAGTCAAATATTGAGATTCCAAGCTGTGGGAAATGTTCTCCAGCTCATGTTATAACTCTCCACAAAAATTCAGAGCATTCCACCGTCCGAGTCATCTTCCGAGAAGTGCTGCAAATATTCGGTGAAAACCAGTTGGTCGGCAAGGATGCTACGGTGATTCAATTGTCTCAAGACCAATACAAATTGACTCCTACTGCTGAGCGGATTGCTAACAACTTCCAAAATCAACACTTCATTGAGCCAAACTCCACAACATTTCAAAATGGTGATTCTTTTGAGTTGAGATCACAAGCTAGTCGACAAAATGTCAAGGCCAATTCGACAGCCCTTTTGGGTGTCCAGACTAATCCTCATGTTGCTCAGGGTAATCAGGATGTTACCCATCATGTTACTTTCCAAGAATTAGCTCAAAACTGTGGTGATCAAATCTTGCCTAAGAATGCGTTTTCACAGGTAGTCGACGTTCAGGCCTCTCATCCCTCCCACATACAAACTCAAAGCACCACTTTACCAATGACATGCACATACCCAAAGATTTCAACCAATTTTGATAAACCAAAGCACCCACAGACCTTTAAGCTATCAGCAACTTCTAACCAAAATGTCCAGCTCCACATCAATAAATTAGTTGCTCCACTAAATCCAAAGGACATTAACAATCATCAAGCGATTCAAGCTGCCATGACTTTTCTGGCTAGTGACCAACAACCCTTTACGGCTGGTCATCCTCCTCCAACCATCTCACCAATTACTATGACCACAAATAACAACTTCAAGCCACAAGATTACTCCAATATTCTGAAGCCAGCTGTGATAAATAATCCAGTGATTGCGAACTCCAATTTGAGACCTACTATTGAGCCAATTCCTGTTAGACGAGCAACTTTTCTGAATGGGCAGCCTCTTGTTAAGTTCACAGAAGCAGAAGTTGAACGAATGAACGTCATAGAAGGACTCCAGTATGTTGTAGTAGGCAAGTTCTCATATGGATGGCCTGAACTACAAGAGTTACGCAAAATATTTCCAGCTCAATGTTGAATCAAAGGAGAATGCAATATAAGATTACTTAGAGATAGATATGTATTGATTCGTTTGACATTATAGGAGGATTTTCAAAGGCGAATTAAGTAAGGATTCAGAGAGAATCCTGGGTAATGAAGGCAGAAGGAATGTTTTTTTGGGCGATTTGAGACCTTGCACGAATTTGTGCAAAGTTTTCTTAACTGATTAGGGTGATGGGAGTTGAGAGAATAAAGAGGAAAGGGGAAAGAAGACGGCCAGGTCTTTGAGTGGAATGATTAGGGTTTGGGGGAAGTTTGGTTGGTCTTTAGGTTAAAGTTGGGAGAAGGAACCTCGGCCGCTGGATCATTAGATCAAAGACCTTAATAAATCAAGGATTAAATATTTTTGGGGCGGAATTTAGGTGTCCGTTGGATTCCTGTAATTCAATGGTTAGGATTAAATGGTCTGAGTGCTTAATAATTAAAGAGAAAATAGAGTGAAAATCATGGGCCATTGATCAAAAAATGAAAGGCCCAGTTAACTTTGTGCTTGTTATGTGAGTGAGAGAGGCGAGTGACGTGGCACACTCTCATTGGCTAAGAGAGGGTATCACGGATCACCAAGCTGGCAAATGAGATGGGTGTTTGGATTGGGTCATTTCGGATTAGGCCTTGTATTTGGGCTAGAAATCATTTAAATGGTAGCCTCTTTGTAATTAATAAAAGAATTGCAATCGTAGCCTTTTGATCTTTATTTCTTTTGAAATTAATTTAATTTGTAAAATACTTCACTAGGATATTAATTTTGAATAATTGAAATAGTAAACTAATTAACTATTTTAAGAAGTAATTTATTGAATTAATTATAGAACTTACGCATAGAAATTATTTTAATAATCCTAAAATAGTAAATATATTTGTAATTACATAACACTAATACCAAATAATTAATTTCAAAAACTAACACTGAATTAATTCTTAGAAATAGGTATTTATTTATAGAAAATATTTTCAAAATATTCATTGTAAATTATTAAATATAAAAAAATAAATTTTAAAAGAGAGTCAAAATTGGCCGTCAACAGCTGCGCCTCTATGATCGGAGACGATGAAAGAGGTTTCGGGCAGAGAAACTAAACCAAAGCCATTTTTGTCTCGACTTTTAGGCAGGTATTGCAAGAAATGATGAATTTGTAGGATTGAGTTGAGGAAGAATCTGGAAAGATTTGGGAATATGGGGCCGAATTTTGGCTTTGAATTGCTTACATTCCTCAGGCTTAACGAGCATCAAGCCTCATGTAGTTCTGGAGTAGGGACTTTGGGGAAGCAGCACTCGCAGGAATTGTCCCAGTATCGTATTGCGACGATACGGCGAGACAGAAGATTGGTCACTCATGGTAGCTTAAATTTTGTGGCCTGATTTGAATGATTCAAAATTTTAAGCTCGCTGATTGTCTTGAGTTGGGATCTTAGGCCCGCTACTGGGTTGACTTTCCCTATAGCATTGTAGTTCGGTCTGCTGCTAAGAAGAAGTTCCATACTACGGTGTTTGTTCCTGCAAAACAAATGAAATACACTCATACCAATATATTGTAATGCATAATATATTAAGATGTGATGTAAATGATGCAGGAATGATGATGCCCGACAGTCGGCGAGCCGTTATTTGGTATTGGGATGATGGGATACTTGATCCTGACTTGATTTGTTAGCTAGGCTGTGTATCGTTCCGCAGCTGTCAAAGAGTTCAAAAATTATCTCCGCTTGCTGGGAGAGCTTTATTGGTAAAGTGTGTCTCCACTTGTTGGTAGAGCTTTGCACTGAGAAATGTCTCCGCTTTTCGGGAGAGCTTGATTTCTAAAGTGCATCTACGCTTATTGGGAGAGCTTTGCACTGAAATGTAAAGTATTCTCTGCTCGGGAGTCATCGATTAAAATCATAATCATGCCTAAAGCTGCACGAACAAAACGTTAAAACATTCAAAGTAATAGCAAATATAATAAAATCATGCCCAAAAGATACTCTTGACTGCAAAACTAGGTTGCGGACATCGATTGGCAGAACGTTGGTGACGAGGTTTGCGATTGTCTATTCCGGTGTCCGTGATTAACGGAGTGGTTCTGCGAATTGCTTTTGTTGGCTAAGTTTGCAGTTTGCTATATACAAGGCTCTAATTGGCGAAGCCGACGTTCGATTCTTACAAGGCGCTCTGATTGATTGAGCTGGCGGTTTGCTATATACAGGACTTCGATTGGTGAAGCTGACGTTCATTTTGTACAAGGTGCTCCAATTGATTAAACTGGCGGTTTGCTATATACAAGACTTCGATTGGTGAAGCCGACTGTCCATTTTGTACAAGATGCTCCGATTAGGTGAGCGGACGATTTGCTATGTACAAATTTCCGTATCAGCAGTCTGATTCCGAGGCACCTACAGAGGATTCAAGAGTTAGCTTTTAGCTATACTAGAAAATGTTAAGTAAAAGAGGAGGAGAGATAATCTTATGCAAGTGGTGAATTCGTCATTTGCCCCAGTGTGGTCCTAGTGCTTCCTTATTCCTTGTTGACTCTACACTCAAAGAAAACTTCTTAGTAGGGAGGGGGAGTTGGTTTGTGTCGACCGCCGTGTTGGTTTGCCCCGAACTTTGACATGATTGCGCCACGAGGTTCGGTAGATGGAACAAATTATTGTATACACATATGTATATATATTTTTAGAAAACATTTTGAAAATACTTGTTTTCTTTTAAGGAAAATGCCGTCGTTCCGGATTCTAATATGTTACGAAAGGTTCTCCACACGTGAACGTATTCCTTTGAGAACTTCGTCCTATTGATGTCGATCTTCTGTGATGCCTCTAAAAATGCGGCTACTTGCTGTTGCGACTGCGTCCTAATTAGAACTAATGGAATCAGGTGTGAACGTAGTTCGTGGGATGATGATAAGATATGATGAAAATGACTGAGCCTAACTCAGGCATCCTTCATATCCAAATGGAATCAGGTCGAAGCGTAGTTCGATTACAATAGATGCAAAATGATAAGATTAATAATGAAAATGGTCGAGTCTGACTCAGACAACCTACGTATCCAAGTGGAATCATGCCAGAACGTAGTTCAATTTCCGAAGACGACTGAATCCAATGAGGATTTCCTACCTATTCCTTTTTAAGTAAATCAAGTTGGTGTAGTTCCTAAACAATATACAAAAATAATATTTGGTTTTTCTATTACAAGAGAAAGGGGGGGAGAAATCAAACCCTACGTGGGTTGCCAATGTATCCCTCTTGATTATGTCTGAGTTGATAGGCTTCGTGTTGACTCTTCCATCCATTTCTGCCAAGATTAAAGCTCCACCTGATTGTACACGGTGAACAACATAAGGACCTTGCCAGTTTGGTGCAAAATTTCGTCTGGCTTCTTCTCGATGGGGAAAGATTTTCTTCAAAACCAACTACCCCGGTGTGAATTGGCGAGGCTTCACTCTTCTGTTAAATGTGATGGCCATCCTGTTCTGATATAGCTGGCCATGACATACTGCATCCATTCTTTTCTCGTCAATGAGCATGAGTTATTCCTGCCAGATCCGTATCCACTCCGCATCATTCAATTTTGCCTCTTGAATGACTCTTAAGGACGGTATCTTGACCTATAGGGGTATCACCGCTTCAGTATCGTATACCAACATGTATGGTGTTGCCCTAGTGGTGAAATAGTCGATAGCTACCAAGCGGCGAACGACCAGGGTGAACCCATTACATTTAACTCATTTGGTGGAATCTGGATGAAATCTCCATAAATCTGGCACTGGTGACACTTCTGCACATAGCGGATACTATCGCTTTCTATAGTCATCCAAATGTATCCATCTCTCAAAATTTTCTTGGCTAATGTGAACCCATTCATGTGGGGTCCGTACATCCCTGCATGTATTTCATCAAGTAGTCTGGTTGCTTCAGCGGCGTCTACACATCTCAGCAAACCTAAGTCTAGGGTCCTCCTGTACAAGACTTCCTTGTTGAGGAAAAAATGGTTTGCTAACTTCCTGAAGGCTCGCTTTTGACCATTAGTAGCATTCTTTGGGTACTCCTGGGTTGCAAGGAATTTCTTGATGTCGTGATACCATTGTTTACCATCTGGTTCTTCATCCACATGGAAGTAATAGGCATGTTGATCCCTGATCTCTACCTCGATAGGGTCGATGTAGTTCTTGTCTAGATACTGAATCATAGATGATAAGGTTGCAAGGGTGTCGGAAAACTCGTTCTTAATTTTGGGGATGTGCTTGAAATCAATCTTTGTGAACTTCTTGCACAACTTCTTCACGCAGTGCAAGTTCATCAGTATATTGACATTCTTGGTGGACCATTCTTCTTGGACTTGGTGTATCAACAAATTGAAATCTCCTATGACCAAAAGTTCTTTGATGTTCATATCGACTGTCATTCTGATTCCAAGAATGCACGCTTCATATTCAGCCATATTATTAATACAAGGGAATCTTATCTTTGCCTATGTTGGGTAATGTTATCCAAATTCTGAAATCAGGACTGCCCCAATTTCGACTCCTTTGAAATTTACTGCTCCATCGAAAAACATTCTCCACCCGGGGTATGATTCTGCAATATCCTCCCCGGCAAATAGTACTTCTTCATCGGGGAGATACATTGTAAGCGGTTCGTAATCTCTATCCAGTGGATTCTCGGTGAGGTAGTTGGCTAAAGCTTTCCCTTTGATAGCCTTTTGAGTTATGTACATAATGTCAAATTCGCTGAGGAGAATTTGCCATTTAGCTAGGTAGGCACTGGCTTCTGAAATATGTATTTGAGTGGGTCACGCCCAGATATCAGATACGTAGTGTATGCTGACATATAATGCCTTAGCTTTTGAGCAATCCAAGTCAGAGCACAACAAGTTTGTTCTATCAGGGTATACTTGGCCTCGCATGGTGTGAATTTCTTGCTAAGTAGTAGATGGCATGCTCCTTTCTCTCGGTATCATCATGCTGCCCTAGCACACAGCCGAAGGCATTTTCCAAGACTGGCAAATAGAGAAACAATGGTTTCCCTGGTTTGAGGGGAACCAACCCTGGCGGGTTTGAAAGATACTCTTTGATTCTGTCGAAGGCTTTCTAGCACTTCTCCATCCATTTCGTGGCAGCATCCTTCTTTAGCAGCTTGAAAATGGGTTCACCGATTACCGTGGACTGGGCTATGAAACGACTGATGTAATTCAATCTTCCCAGGAAACTCATGACATCATTCTTGCTCTTTGGTGGTGGTAATTCTTGGATGGTCCTGACTTTTGATGGATCCAGTTCTATCCCCTTCCTACTTACAATGGACCCCAATAGCTTCCCAACTGGGACTCCGAACGCACACTTTGCTGGGTTTAACTTCAAACTGTACCTTCACAGGAATTCAAAAAATTTCTTCATGTCGTCCAAATGCTCTGAAATCTTTTGAGACCTTATGATGATACCATCCACATACACTTCAATCTCTTTATGGATAATATCGTGAAAGCGGGTCTCCATGGCCCTAATGTAGGTGGCGCCGACGTTCTTGAGACCGAATGACATAACTCTATAACAGTAGACTCCCCAAGGCGTGGTGAAAGATGTCTTCTCTGCGTCTTCCTTGAGCATTAAGATTTGATGGTATACAACGATACAATTCATAGACGACTGCAGTTCATGCTTTGCGTAGTTGTCGATGAGGATGTGGATATTTGGCAGGGGGAAATCGTCCTTTGGACTAGCTTTGTTGAGATCCCGGTAGTCCACACATATTATGATCTTTCCATCCTTCTTGGGCATTGGGAAGATGTCTTCCATCCAGCTTGGATAGTTGTTTACCCTTACTACATTTTCTTCTATCTGTTTGGTCACTTTTCTCTTATCCTCAGACTTAAATCAGGTTTGAACTTTTTGGGCTTCTGCTTGACCGGCAGTCTGGTTGGGCCAGTGGGTAGTCGATGCAAGATAATGTCGGTACTTATTCCTAGCATGTCATCATAGGACTATGTGAACTCGATGTACTGTCAGAGGAGCTCAATCATTTTTCCTTCTTCTCGGCTTCTAGATGAATGATGATTCTGGTTTCCTTTACATCTTCTTCGCTTCCAAGATTGACCACTTTCGTTTCTTCAAGGTTGGGTTTTTTCTGACTTTCCAGCTAATCGATCTACTGTGGGAGATTGTCTGGCATCATACTCTCGTTATATTCCTCGTAATCTGGGTCGTTTCACTTAGCGGTTTGGGTTTATGTCATAATCGTGGAACACGGTTTTTTATCGGTTTGATTACTAAAAAGAAAATCTAAGTATAAATAAAGCAGTAAACCAAAGTTGTGATATTTAGGAAAATGATTCTTTTATTTCATCAAAAGGGGAATGTCTTAAGCGTTCACAATAGGAAAATGACAAAAGGGTACAAACACGGTACAAGCCTCAATTGATCGTGCTCTTTTCAAAAGAAACATTTTTTATAGTTCCATACTACCATGAATCCCGGTGAACTAAAGATGGACTGGATGTCCAATCCTACAGCTCTTCCCCTAGTTCGGCATCCCTGATAGTCGGTGTCTTGATGTCAGTTCCTTCACAACATTCTTCAATCATATTCATGAATAACTTTCCCATCCCGTCAATGATATCATCTTCGGTTACTGAACTCTGTCCCGAACTTGAAACATACTCTGGCACAAAAACCTTTTTCTCGGAGCTAACGGTGCGAGATTTCCCTTCCAGAGGCTGATATCCTCTGCCAGCCCTTCCTTTCTACCCATTATGTTCAATTGGCTTTGTGATTCCATCTGACTTGGATCCCAACCATGTTTCTAGATTGTATCCATATTTCATCATCTCCCTCATAGCCATCTTGGATATATGCGGCGACTGCATTCCCAAATTTTGTTCAGTCTTCTACATCTCAGTAGTCTGCATGATTTCCACTGTGTGGAAGGCAACTCCGTCCAGCCCTTCAATGAATGGGAAAACATACTCCAATAGGCTGATTGACCCCAATCATCATGAACCACGATCTCTTGGCATCCTTATTTGAATTTTATGCATTGGTGCAAAGTAGACGGCATGGGCCCTATCATATGTATCCAGGGCCTACCCAGCATCAAATTATAAGAAGAGGAGATGTCCATCACTTGGAACAATACCAAAAAATCGACCGGCCCGATTTGCAAAGCTAGATAAATTTCTCCAATAACATCCTTTTGCGAACCGTCAAAGGTTCTTACTCTTACGTGGCTTTCCTTGACTTCCCTCAAATGAATTCCTAACTCCCGCAGGGTGGAGGGTGAACAAATGTTGACTCCTGACCCTCCATCGACCAGCACCCGGGACACCACTTTGTCCCCGTATTTGACAGTGATGTGAAGAGGCTTGTTGTGACTTGCACCTTCGATAGGAAGTTCGTCGCATCTAAAAGTGATCAGGTTTGCTTTGACCATTTTTCCAATTTTCACGACCAACGCCTCGCTAGTGGTGTTACTTGGTACACTTACCCCACTTCGTACTTTCAACAAAGTGTCCTTATGAATATTAGAGCTCATTAATAGATCCATGATAGATATCTGTGCTGGAGTTTTCTTCAACTGCTCTTCCAAAGAATACTCTTTGCTTGACATTCTGTTCCAAAACTCAGCGGCTTCTAGGGCTGTTCTGTTCCTCCTTAGAATTTTTTCTCTCCCCGACCAAGTCATATCATATGATGCGACAGAGTCTGACATTTTGTCCTTTCTCTTTTGCTGGCATGTCCATGGGACTGTTTTGTACTCCCGATCTCCTTCATCTCGAGTAGCATCGGTAGGTTGCTGCGGATAAGTTTGAACCGTCACTGTAGGCCTTAGTTGAACTGTAATGATTGGAGCCTTTTGATAAGGTATCCTTGCGGCTTCTGCATTCCCTATAGTGACAATTGTTCCCTTCAGGTCATGTTCTTTGTCTAATGTGATCATGTTAGCTCCCTGATTTCATGGTAGTGGGTTGCGATTCACATTTGGTGGTGCTAGAGTGCACTGAATGGCTCTACTCTTGATCAGGGTTTCAATTTTATTTTTCAACTTGAAACAGTCTTCATTATCTTGCCCAGGTACATTGGAATGATACACGTATCTTTTAGTGGCATCAAAATATTTGGAGGGATGTTCAGGAACCCTTCATTTGATTGGGTGTATCAATATCGCTCTTCTCAACCTTTCAAACAATTGGACCAGAGGCTCAGCAATCGGGGTATAAGTTCTAGGACCCCTCTATTCAAAGTTGGGATGAGTGCGTGATGCATAAACATGTCGGTTCTGATGAGTAGTGGTTTGGATATGAGCATATGACCATTGTGGGTTTTGGTTGTTGTTGACTCGAGGAGGGTTGTATTGTGGTTGAAGGTGGTAAATGGCTGGGTATTATAGACTGGAGCATAAGTGGGTGGTGGTGAGTGGTTGTTTGGGGAATAAGAAGTGCTTCCGTGAGGTGGATTGGGTTGGTAGTAAGGGACGACTGTTGAGACGTCCTCTTTCTTCTTCTTTCCTCTACCGATTGATCCTGACTTGATGATCTTGCTGACCGCTTGCAGTGCTGCCATGGATTGTATTTTTCTAGACTTTATTGTTTCATAGAACTCGCATGGGCTTGGACAATTCGCCCTTTTGGAAAGTAAAAGAGAAACCTAGGGGTAAAGGTACAAAATGGGGAAAGAGAGGGAAATCAACCAACTCTAATAACCATCCCCTGAGTCGTTTCCCATGACTTTCTCTTCCTCAGGCTCCTCTTCCGGATCATCCTCCGAGTTTTCCTCAAACTCCTCATAATCGTCATTGAATTCAGACTGCTCTTCCAGATCTTCTTCTGGCTATGTGCTTGATTCTATCTAGATGCACTCTACTACCTGATCATCCTCTTCAGCAGGTGGCAACATGTGGTCAATGGATCTTGGGACCACCTGATGATGCATTGATGTGGTCACAGGATAATACGACAAGATCTCATGGTAAATCTGTAAAGTAACCACCGCGTCCTCTAACCAGGCTATACCCTCTCTGCTTGGCCGGGCTAGTTCTTTTTCTTCGTTAATCCAGACGTAATACTAGGGAGTACACCATGAGTTTTTAACCATAGGCTTTGTCACCAGGTCATTCCACTCTTCTTGTAATCTTCTTATCCCGTGAATATGATCTGGCCAATGTACTCATCCTCATACATCGCCATCCTTGTCCACAGAGAAACGTGTTGGATCATCCCGAATTGTCTGAGGACACGCAAGGGTGAGTATGGTTGAATGCCTTCCAGTCCGATCAACTCAATGAAGTACTTCTGAGGAGTCCTCAAGATTGCCCTTCCACCTAACCAAGAAGGTTTCCAGTTGATCCATTTTCCTATTCTTATTATTTCTCTCAATTCTTATTGCCCATGTGGGGAGATCCTATGTCTCATTCTTTCATTGTGGCTGCGGATCATATTGCTGACACCCA